TTTACCATAAGTTTCATATATATGTATTGGAAACACCTAAGAAATCGACACCCCACCCTTAATCCAACATCTTCCTCCCCCCATTCCAACCACCGCCGTCTGCGTTCTCTCTCTCCCTTCCACGCATATAGAATAACATAGAAAAATCTCGCCTGCGTTCTCTCCCTCCCACTCTCTTAAAAAAACACATAATTTATTACCCCATTAACCCCCCTTTTTTGTTCAAGGAAATAAACAAGATTTATTACAACAAAAAATTCATAATTTATTACCCCCATTAACCCTTTTTTTGTTTAAGGAAAAAACAAGATTTATTACAACAAAAAAATTTATTATTTAAACTTTTTTGTAACAAAAAACATGATTTATGTATGTTTAAACAATTTTTTATAATAATAAAAAAATGAGTTATGATTGTTAAACAATTTTTATAATAATAAAAAAATGATTTATTATTGCTAAACAATTTTTTACAATTTAAAAAAATGATTTATTATTATTAAACAATTTTTTCATAATAGGAAAAATGATTTATGATTATTTAAACAATTTTTTTACATAAAAAATTATTTATGATTATTTCAACATTTTTGACATAAAAAAATGATTTATGATTGTTTAAACAATTTTTTATGACATAAAAAAATTTGTTTAAACAAATGGTCCAGAACCGGCCTACTATACCTACTTACGTCTGAGCGAATGAGGATGCAGAATACGGTAGGCCGGACTCGGAAGGCATTTAAGAAAATCGATCGATGAGCGGGAGGTGGAGCGACGCGCGAGATACTCGTACTATGTTTATGTTTCGGGTCGCCCGTCGCTCGTGCTCGCTGCCGCACTCGCCGCCCGCGCCGCGCTTCCCGCCGCGCCTAGGTTTTTTCCCACCACGGTGTATCTCGCGCGTCGCTCCATCTCCCGCTCATCGATCGATTTTCTTAAATGCCTTCCGAGTCCGGCCTACCGTCTCCTGCATCCTCATTCGCTCAAACGTGTAAATTAATTACTCGATAATTATTGTTACTTTTGTACCGTGGCACATGACATTTCTCCTTAGTTTAACCCAATCTACCATTATTTTCAAGTTGGCTACTTTTGCATCAGACACCCTGTATATCAAGATCAAGATCATCGGCGAAGTATCTGTTAACCGTCTAACGTTGGATATCGGAACAGTAGCGCGTAGTCATTTTGATGATCAATCTTTTTGGCTTTAAAGAAGTAATTTGGTATTTTTAATGGCTAATAATATATTTTTATATTGTATAAGTATAAAAATTAAATATCAAAATTATTACCTTATTTAACGTTCATTGTTTATTCAAAATAGCTTAACATTTTGCTTAATGTTCGGCATATACATTTTATATTTACCCGTCGTCAATTTAGCGAGGCATTAATTATCTAGGTTAAATGTAAATAATTCCCAAAGCATATCATTATTTCTATGTATATTTATACATATTAATAAGAGTTTTCTATTATAGATTAGTAAACGGAGTTATACAAATCCAGAGAACCTAAGTAATTTGAATGATGAGACAGTCATCTTAACTATTGAGAATAGTCAGTTTATAGACAAGGATAATCAACTTCCCGTGTTGCAAATTGAAACACTTGAAGAAATTGATCAAGTAAGCAAAACAATCTCTGGTATTTATCTAACATATGTCATCTCTCTATGCATAAACTGTGTATATCTGTGTTGTTGATAATCATCAATCATGATATATGACGGTTGTATACAACTTTTTGAAAAATAATATTAGCTTTGAGGACTTTCATACTAACCTAGCAAACCATGTGACTTCTTTCAATGTTTTCCACTTGTCGATGTTATTTTTATAATAGCTAAATTAGTTGATAACTTTTTGTCAAATTACTTGGTAGGTTGATGTTTCTAAAACACTCTCAGTGAGAAATAATGGTTGAAAAGATGTCAAATCAATGTCGAATCGACGTAAAATGTGTTGAATAGTCGTTGATTTGACATCTTTTCGACTAATCATTTCTCATTGGGCTCCTTGTTTCTGATTCCTATAACTCACATTATTCTGTTTCTCTAGGCTGTTAAAAAAGAAGAGACAGCCAAGAAATCGGAAACTGGGAGTTTCAACGATTCCACAATTGGGAGTACAACATCTGATACTGACAATAACAGTGAATACTTAGCACCTAAAAAGAGAAGAAGCTTAAAGTCAAATTTTGAGCCAAACAAACGTTTAGCTTCTTTCAAAGGCCTTGCTTATTTGAAAGAACTGGTATATAATGTTCTATCGTTGCTCTACACATCTTAAATTTTTTTTGGTTTTTAATTATTATCTGTTTTTAGGATCTTGAGGCATATTTAACGAATTATTATCTTAAATCAGAGGCAGCAGTTGATAACTATAAACTGAAGGGGATGCTAAGGGGATGAGAGGGACCGATCTTCAATAACAAATGCTATAGTTCATGAGATGTTAAAAATTAACTATGTGTAAGTCTCAAAAATGATTTTAGAATATCAATGTTAGCTAGTCCTCCAGTGTACGTTCTTATAAAAATTAATGTTTATTCTTTGTGGATGGCAGGCCATCCCAGTTTGAATATGCAGAAATTGTGAAGAAGATCTGTGCTCTTTTCCCGTCTGAAGATCCAATAAACTATTTTCTACAAATTTCACTGATAGTGTGTCTAAGCACTGCAAATTTACTAAAAATTTCTTTTGTCCCATAGGCTATTTATTACATTCCTCCTGACAAAACGCATAGGAATGCTCAAGGCAAGCTACCTAATAAGGTAAAGAATATTAAATACAATCTTCAAAAAAAGGGTGCTGGAACCCTTTCTTCTTCTCCAGTGCAATGTACCTTGGAGATATTGAAAAAGTCAAAAATTATTGAGCCAGCTAAGCTAGAAGGTAAGGTTTTCTTCTCATTTGTAATATTTCTTGAATCAAAGTAAACCATGATTAATGTATTATAACATTGAATATTTTCTCATTTATCTTAGGAATTAATTCATAGTGTTTTAAGAAAGTTGATGAATTTAAGTACAAAAATAAAATAATAGGTACTGGATTGATTTTTGTCTTTAAATAGCAATCTTCTCACATCATTTTAGGAATCATTAATGAAGAAGACCATACCATAAAAACTGCTATTGCAAATCTGAGACATGAATGTCAGGATTCTTGGCCTAAATTGTTGCCGAATTGGTCGGTGACACATGCTCTTAGGCGTAAAACCTTGTTGGAAATAAGATCAAGGGTTCAATGTGAAGCCAATAAAGGTCAAGAAAAAGACAACGATACAAATGATGAGAGTGAAGATGAAGAAGAGCAACTCATCAATGAATATATAATAAAATGGGATGTTTTGAAGCTTCCCAATGGATACCTTTTAGTAAGTGTACTATATAAAATTTTTTAAAATACATATAGTAAGTTTACTTTTTCTATACAGAATATTGATTGATTTTTTCAGTTAAATCAAGACTTTAAGGAACTTTTTCCAGGAAGGGAGGATGGTCTGTTCTGAAAGTGGGAAATTGCGAAGGAATTAATAATTGAGTTAGCAGAGACCGAGATCTCTATCTCTGATATTTTTGGAAGAGATCTGCTAAAACAATATCATACTGCTCCTGCAGGTAAGAACACTAGTTTTCATTTTTTTATCAACTTGTAATATTCCGTATCTAAATATTTATGCAGACAAACGGGATGTTATCACATTATATCTACTACCATCTTTGTGCTTCAAGCGAGGACGGGGGAAGAGCACAGGTTACATTCCATCAGTGCAAGAGGCCAGAAAGTTTTTTATTATTCATGTGACTGTAAATAATTATGTTCAAATAATATTTTTTTCACTCTTAAAATTCTACCTTTTTAGGAACTAAATGGTTTTTTCTGTACTTTTAGATTCCAGGAGATCTGAGAAGAGCTGTTAAAAGGCATTGTGCCCACCTAAATGCCATTGGAGCCCGTCTGCAACCGATCCTTATAGTTGTCGGACAGACACTGGCAAACATAACTGCCACATATATTCAAATTGATGGTATTTGTTACAAGCTGAGAACACCAGAAAACACCAGGAACAATGTGGCTCTGGATGCTTGTCTGAAGGCATATCATGCTCTAGACGCAGTATATCCTCAAGAGTGCAAGGTTGTATGGTATTTTGTACAGCACTACTTTTATAATTTATATTTGAAAGAGGATGAGAACATCTCTCGAGTTGCAAGTTTAATAAGTTCTCTTAAAGGACTTGCCTCAAAAAAAGAATAAAGTATTTATAAACTTATCGTAATTTTCCATGTAGGTTTTAGGCTAATTTTATCAGCTGTAAGAAGCATGTTATATATTTGTAGTGAATGTCATGCAACTCTGCGCTCAATAGGTGCACTTTGCACTCATTTGCAGATGATTCATTTTTTTAATGTTCTTAGTATTTACACTTGTGCTCAAAATGATTGCAATAGAGAGTATGACTCTGGAAGTCCTTCAGGAAACATTTGAGAACAAAACATCCTATCAGACCCCATTCAGAAGTCCAAGTAGTGGAAAATATCTTATTACCTGAGAATGTCATTGAGATTAATCATGGCAATGCTTCTATAGATGGCAATTCTTTGATGCCTATAAATGAAAATATACCTAATAATTTGCAAGGGAACAATGTGGACATTAGACAATTTCATGAAATAACTGTCTTGAATTTTCAAAACATTCTATTTCAGTCGTCTTTGGCTCTTGTTGCCAAGTTATACAATGACATTACTCTCAATCGCACTCAAGTACAGAATATTCTCAGTCATGTTAAGAAATTTGCTTCAAATGGTTTCTTAGAAATGTTAAAGGATAAAACTCTTACTGTAGTTAAGAATAACAATGTACCTCAGGAAGAGATAGAAGCTTTAGATGCTATGTTTGCTGCATTCCGCAATATGTTTTCTGGTCTTGAAACTGAGACTCAACAAGTGAATGCCCTGAGACAGAGTCATTGTTATATAAGTCCCAAGTCATATATTATAAGCATAGGTGAAAAAATGAAAAATTAAGGAGCAAATTGGAAATTTGCAAAATGCAACATCAGCATTTTGGCAAGTTGTCTATTCAATTTTTTTTATTTTAAAGGTGCAAATTGGAAATTTGCACATTGCTTCCTCAACATCTGGACTATTTTTTTATTTTAAAGGTGCAAATTTTAAATTTGCACAACGCAGCATCAGCATTTTGGCAAGTTGTTTTTTATTTATAAGGTGCAAATTGGAAATTTGCAAAATGCAACATTAACATTTTGGCAAGTTGTCTATTCAAATTTGGCTTCCTCATAGAGGAAGCTTTGTGAGTTAATGTGCAAATTAAAAATTTGGACATTGCCCATTCTAACTTGTAAAAATGCAAATTGGAAATTTGGACATTACTTCGTCATCATGAAGGCAAGTGATTATTAAAAATTTGGGCAACCTCATAGAAAAGTCTTTATGAGTTAAGGTGCATTTTGAAAATTGCTTACTCCAGAATTTTTATTTGCACACAAAGCTTTCTGTATGAGAAAGCCAGAAACATATATGCGAAGAGGAGGAGAATTAGAAACTTGGATATGGCACTTGACATAAAAGTTTCCCGGGACCGTCCTGGGATGCACCAAAAGTCCTCGGAACCGCCGTAGAACATATAAAAACGTCCTGGAACATGCCGCCTGACATACATATGAGTGTGTGTGTAATTACAAATATATTTTTTTAGAAAATTTAGTAATGTTATATGGTATATTTAATGTCAAACAACTTCAAAGTTTTGTCAAAAACTTCTGGTTTCAAAATTCATAGTAACTTTTGGTTAATAACAAAAATGAAATAAGAAAAAAATCAAAAATATTGTAGTAATAAGGAAGTCAGATCTGTTAAATACATATCCAATATAAAAAAAATAACTTTGTAAATAATTCATGCATACAAATGTGTAAAAAAATAATTAAAAAATTTCGGCGTATCAAGGACTACGAGGAGTGCGTGTCCGGTTCACGGTCGATCGCATTTCAATCGTCCAAGTATCGTCTTGAAGTCTTGAGATTCATTCACCAACAATAATAATAAAAACTGAAGAACAATATAATATATAATTAGAAAAAAGTAAAGTAAAGTGTACAAATTAGAAATTTGCACATGGCTTCCTCATAGAGGAAGGTTTAGGAAATAAATCTAATTTTTTTCGATGTTTCTTAAAAGTGTGCAAATTAGAAATTTGTATATTGCTTCCTCATCATTGAAGCGTGCAAATTGGAAATTTGCACATTTCTTCCTCATCATTAAAGTAGGCAAATTAGAAATTTGCACATTGCTTTCATTGTTATGGCTTCCTCATAGAGGAAGCTTTAAGAGAGAAATCTAACTTTACTACGATGTTTCTTGAAAGTATTCAAATTATTCTTATTTCGCTCTTAAAGCTTCCTCTATGAGGAAGCCATGTGCAAATTTCTAATTGGCACACTTTACTTTTTTTCTAATTAGAAATTTGCACATTGCTTCCATTGTTATGGCTTCCTCATAGAGGAAGCTTTA